TCCTCTCGCTGCCCCTCCTCTCGCTGCCCCTCCTCTGCCCTCCTCTCGCTGCCCCTCCTCTCGCTGCCCCTCCTCTGCCCTCCTCTCGCTGCCCCCTCGCTGCCCCCCCTCGCTGCCCCTCCTTTCGCTGCCCCTCCTCTGCCCTCCTCTCGCTGCCCCTCCTCTCACTGCCCCTCCTCTGCCCTCCTGTCGCTGCCCCTCCTCTCGCTGCCCCCCTCTCTCTCGCTGCCCTCCTCTCGCTGCCCTCCTCTCCCTGCCCCTCCTCTGCCCTCCTCTCGCTGCCCGGCACTAAGGACCACACGGTATTACACGTGCCACCACCTGGCGACCTTCAGCTGCACCCTCAAAGCACTTTATGGTGGCCTCCCCACAGCATCGGTGTGGCCAGGACCATGGTCCCAGTTTACAGGAGACAAAACCACGAGAGAAACTGAGTCATGGGGGCTGGACTTCCTGACTGTGGACTCTTGCCTGCTCCCTCCCCGGCCACGGTCCAGGTTCCCCTTCTGGAAAGTGGAAGTTACACCTCCCTCTGCTCCCACGTGACAGATGAGGAAAGGGCGAGGTCTGGGGGCTGCTCACAGGGGGAGGGCCACCACAAGGGATCCCCAGGCCCAGAGGCCCTGCCACCTCCCTGCTCTGTGGTGGGACCTTTCTGGGAGGCGAGCCCTGGGCAGGGTCTCGGCAGGCCCTTGCTGTTCCAGGAACCTGAGGATCCTCTCCCTCCTCCTCGGGCTGCAGGACCAGCCTTGGCTCCGGTCCAGGCTGTGTCTTCCCGGGGCCTCTACCTGTGCACAGCTTCGGATCCGTCAGGTTGAGCTCCAAGCCGGGCGGGCACCTGCAGGTGTAGCTGCCCTGGGTGTTGATGCAGATGCTGCGGCCTTTACAGATTCTGGGTTTCTGCTGACATTCGTCCACGTCTGCAAGGGGAAGAGAGGGTGACGGACGCCTGCAGCTGCGGGCAGCCTTCGGGGCTGAGAGTCTGGCATGTTTCCTAGCAGAGAAGCATCTGGAAGGGGCCACTGTCTCTTCCCGGGTGAGTGGGTGCCTTTTCTTATTCACATGGAGGCCTGTGGGTGCATGTGGTGGCCTAGACGCTCTGTTGTCCAGATGTGGCTGGAAACGGCCTGAGTCTTCCCTGTCTGCCAGCTCCGGCTCCCTCAGCCTCCCTGGGCAGCTCCCAGCTGGGGTGGGCACATCATGGCCACCTGTGTCCCAGCCTGCGCATTTGGACAACAGCCAGGCTGGGCCTTCCTGGGGCCTGAGTGCAGGGGAAATGCTGCATTCCCCGAGCAGGACCAGCTTGGCTCCCAGGGATGGCCTTTGTCCTCATTTCCCAGGATGGCTGCTCGCCCGCTGAGTTCTCCTCAGAATCTCGGTTGTTCTGACGGGACAGTGCTGTCCCATCCACACTAACTCTGAGAATCCAACTCCATAGAGGCGGACCAAGACCCACCCCTGAATGGCCTCTCAAGAAGGAGGCTTTCGGCAGCAGAAGGGAGAATGAAGATGATGCTTGACGTCCAGGGCCACCCAGAGAGAGGGCACCAGGCTGCGTGGCCAGTGGAGGCTGAGGTCCAGCCAGGTGGCCTTGGGGTGGTGAAGGTGCCTTTTTCTGATCCCCATGAAGACACCCTCTGGACTGGCAGGAAGCGGAGAGAATCACATCTGAGCAAGGCCCGTGGTGGGCGAGGGCTGGGTGGCCAGAGAGGGGAGCAGCTGCTGATGGGCGAGGGGTGGCAGATGTTTCATTTTCTCAGCCCTTGGCCTGCCACCAGGGACGCAGACCTGTGGGCCCCGTGGAGTGGGGCCCAGCCTCCATTTTCTCTCGACAAGGGGTACAGATCCACATGGGGCCCGGGTTGACCTCCTCAGGAGAGGGTCGGCCTCGGGCAATGGTTCCTGATGGCGCCTTCTCTTGCCATTTGGTCCAGACGGGAGCCTCTTCTGTTCCCCTGCCTCTCTGAGTGTGAGTGCATGGGGTCCATGTCACCCTGTCAACCCCTGTCAACACAGCTTCCTCCCGGGTCCCGGTCATCCGAGTTGTCCACAGGCCCACGAACTGAAATTATTGTGGAGGGTCAGGGCAGAGATTTGTTCAGAGATTACATGGAGGTTGAGCAGCCAAGAAGCCAACTCACGGCCCGGAGGCGTCTACACCAGGTGTGGTTGTTGACCAGGGACAGGCTGGCCGGGGAAGGTGGGCCCGCCCTCGAGTCTCCCCCTCTCAAGTTTCTGGATGGGGTCCCTGGGTCCATCGTGGCTTGAGGGTGTGAGAGGGCTCCGGGGGTGGCCTCGCCCATGTGGGCCCGCTGGGGGCAGGTCTCAGCTCGGTGGTAACTGACGATGGTGGAGAGGATGGTATTGACTGCACACACCCGCTGAGCTGGTATCTGAATGCCACCCCTCCTTGTCTTATGCAAATAAGATGCCAGGTGGGCAGGGGACCATCCAAAGATCTGGAGGCGACCTCTGGAGGGATCAGAGGGTCGGGAGACCAGTGGGTGCCTAGAGCAGCCTCAGGTGCCTGGAGAAAGTGGGGCGAGGGGCCAGGGAGCGGCCGGGGGCTCCTGCCTGTAGCGGACTCGCTGCCCTGACGCAGGTGGATGTGTCCTGGGTGCGGGAAAGGCTGGAATGAGGTGGGGGTGCATAGACTGCCCAGCTGAGCCCGTCACAGAGCCGCGTCTGCAGGTGGCCGGCCCTGGTCCAAACCAGCAGGTTGCTCTCTCCCTGTCGCCCACCGTGAGGTCTGTCCTTACGCCTGTCCATCCATGTCTCTGCCCAGCGGCAGAGTCCTCTTCTCTCAGCCCTGGCCTGTTTCTAACACACAACACAGCACCTCAATAACCACAACCACCGCTGCCTGTGCTGAGGGCTCAACATAGTGGGCGGGCGGCACCCCCAGCCCAGGCACAGTGAGTGGGATCCATGACCACCATGTGCAGTTGTGCAGGTTGCTCACTGCACAAGGATATCTGGCCAGGGGGTAAGTGGGGGCTGAAAACCAGCTCTCTTTCTGTTTCCCAAGCACACTGCGTTCACCTGGAGACAAGGGGCCTTTTTCCAATTCATGTGAAGACTGTCCGCTGGCCAGGCTACATGGATGGGGCACAACATCCACCCACAAGGGGGCCTCTCTGGACCCACAGCGCCGTGGGCTGCTGGGCTGCACGAAGGTGCAGGTCCCCCTTCCCTCCCACCGGGGAGGCTCTCTGCCCTCTGCCTGCACAGGGCACACAGGGCAGGAGGGAAGGGACTAGGACGAGGCCGTGGGCTCCCTTCTCTCCGCAGCAGGGCGGGCCTCTGGACCCTCCTCAGAGCCCTTGCCTCCTCCTCACCTCCCACCTTCACTCCCCCCCCTCCCCACTCTCTGGTTCTGCTCTAATCCCCTCTCTCTGGATGGGTCCCGGCTCCCGCCCCCCACTGCGGGCCCCACCCGCCCCTGTGGATGCCCGAGGCCCCTTCCCCCAGAATAGGAGCAGAGCTGGTGATGCGTGGAGGCGCGGCCCCTCATGGGCCTGAGCGGTGGGACGTGACTGCAGTGGGGGCTGGACGGGGCAGCTGCTCTCCGAGCGCCCCCCGGGGCACGGCCCTGGATCCCCATCCTGGAGAGGGGGCGTCAGATCATGATGACTATAATTGTAAACCCAGCAACCATCGCTGTTGAGTGCTGTGCGACCTCACAGACCTTCCCAGCACTTCCACGAGGTCCCCACCACTGTGCCCTCCCGTTTACAGGTGGGTAGACTGAGGCACAGAGGGGCGAGGTGACGTGCCCAAGGCACACAGTTAACAAAAGGCAGAGCGACTTTTATCTGTGAAAGACAGGAGCTCTTTTTTTTTAAGAAAACACAAAATCACAATAAGATTATCACATCTCACACGTCAACAGTGATTTCTGAATAAGCACCTGGCGAGTGTCCCCTCAGCTGTGGGGTGGCAAAGCCAGGACCCAGGCCCTTGGGTCTCATGCTGCACTGCCTCTCTGTGCGGGTGGGGCAGGCGCAGGGACACCTGTCCCCACTCAGACCTGGGCTGCACCTGTACCCCGGGCTGCCCCGGACGCTGCAGGAGAGGCTCAGGGGGCCCCAAGCCTCATGCACGAGGACTTGGAACACGAGGGGTGGTTCTTACCTTGACACGTGTTCTCACTCTCGTTCCTGAACATTCTTCCTCCAGAAACAAGCTCGTATCCTGGGCTGCATGTGCAGTAGTAGCTCCCTTCCGTGTTCTGGCAGTCTGCGAATTTCCCACAGGACACTGCCGAGGGTGGTCCACACTCGTTGATGTCTGGAACACAACAGGAAAAAGGGTCACCTCCAAAAGGTGTGAGTTCCCTCAGGGCAGAGACCCTGGTCCCCTACCTGACTCCCCAGCGTGGGGCCTGATGCTTAATCAGTGTCTTTTTGGAAAACATTAGACTCTCAGGCAACACTGCTGAGGCTGGGCCATGGCTGGAGCAAACCATTCCTGAAGCCCACTGCGATATTGTGATTTATAAGAAATATGTATTTGGTCATTCAGAAGACCAAAATATATTTCTTATATATATTTGGTGTTCATCCACAGTTCCTGGCTCACAGTTCCCAAAACCCTTGGAATTTCCTAAGTGTTGAGAGTGATAACATTGACTTCTGTTATGTTAATGAGGTAACTTCTGGAAAGCACCTAAGGATGGGGGCTGGTTGCCAGTGGAGCAACGAGATTAGAGGGTTGGAACTTTCAGACCCTCCACACGCATCTCGAGGGAGGGAGAGGGGCTGAGGTTGAATCAATTGCCAATGGCCAATGATTTAATCAATCATGCCTATGTCGTGAAGCCCCCATAAAAACCCTAAAGGATGGTGACCAGAGAGTCTCCAGGCTGGTGAACACGTGGGGGTGCCGGAGAGCGGCGCGCCGGGAGAGGACACGGGAGCTCCTCGTCTGTTCCCCACACCTTGCCCTCCGCATCTCTGCCGTCTCGCTGTGCCTGACTTCTATCCTTTCACAACAGACCGGGCATCTGGTGAGCAAAATGTTTCTCCGAGTTCTGTGAGCCACTCTAGCAGATTAATGGAACCCGAGGAGGGGTCTTGGGAACCTCTGATCTATAGCCAGCCGGTCAGCAGTCCAGGTGACAACCTGGCTGACGCTGGGGGGAGGTCTCGTAGGACCGAACCTCCACCTGTGGGATCGGACGCTCTCTCCACGTAGACGGTGTCAGAACTAAGTTGAATCGTGCGACACCCAGCTGGTGCCCCGCAGGTTGCTTGTTGGGCTGGGGAGTCCCCGGATTTGGACAGAGTGGGAAGTGCGGGCGTGGGGGGCGGCGGAAGGTCTGCCCCCCACCCCGGTCTGGAAGGGCACGTGGGGCGCCTCCTCTCTCCAGGAAGCCATGTTGACCCACATCTTCTTTTCACCCTCATCTCTTTCCCTTTCTCTTCTCTGCCCTTGACGATGGTCCCCAGGACAAAGGCTGAGGCCCCGGCCCCCAGCCACGTCCCCCACGGGCACTGGGCTGTGCCCGACAATCTGCACGTGCCCCCTCCACCCCCACCCTCTGTACCGTCGCAGCTCTCCGCGGGGCTGGTGATGATCTCCCCAGACAAGGAACTGAATCCCGGATCGCAGCGACAGGTGGTGGCACTGACGCACGTGGAGTTCCGAGGGCACCAGCGAGCACAGGCTGTGGGGGCAGAGGCTGTGGGCACGGAGACCACGGTCAGAGGGTGAGGGCTGAGCCAGGCGCTGGGGAGCGGGGCAGGGTCATCTCCGGGGGAGGGGTGCTGGGGAGGGGCGGCCCTGAGCGTCCCCCTGCAACAGGCCTCTCTCCTGCCTGGGCTGAGGGGTGCGGGTGGGGGTTCAGGGCCCCTTCCCCAGGCTCTGGCTGTGGACTCAGTTGGTCCCAGCAGACTTACCTGTGCAGGTCTGGAATCCAGCTTCCCACAGAGTCAGCAAGACACACAGCACTGGAACAGAGACGGAGGGTCAGGGTGGACCCCAGAGCAGGGACAGGTTGTCGGAGGCCTGAGGGCGACGCTCTGAGGGAAGGGGGCTGCTGACCCCTCCCAGGCTTGGGCTCTGTCCGTTGCTCAGGGAGAGAGTGAGCAGGGGGTACCTTCCTGGGCTCTGACGCCCACGGCCAGAGGGTCAGCCCCCATCGCCTGGGGGCCAGTTTCAGGAACTGAGGATGGGGAAGGGGCCCGGCCGGCGGGGGCCTGGGCTCCTGCTGGCCTGCGGGCAGCAGCTCGGTAAACGGACTGGAGTGTGGCGGCCCGGTCAACCCCGGCCTTGGTCAGGTCACCCCACCCCGCAGGGCCTCACTTTCCCCTTCTGGAGAGTGGAGGAAACCACCTCCTAGAGCTGAGTGTGAGCGAAGCAAGCAGATACGCCCGGGCGTGGCGGTGTGCACCTCCATCGTCATCTCTGCGTACAGACGGAGGGCTGGGACCAGGGCTTCTCCCGGATCCCCGTGAAGCTACGACATTCCAGCCCCAAACCCTGCCTGGGGGACACAGGTGCATGCACACCGCACCCACGTGTCAGCCCCGACGACTGGCCTGGGGCCCAGCGGTGACACTTCACTCCGGGCTCCCCGCACAGGAAGACACTGTGGGCTCTTGGGGTGATGCCGAACGGGCCCTCCTCCCCTGCTGTTCCTGCCACTCTGGGGCACCCCACTCCCGGGCATGTCTGGGGGTCCTCCTCAAGTCCCAGGGGCTTTAGAGGTCTTCCTGCCGCTCACCAGAGAGAGACAGAGAAGGAGACAGAGGTGGAGAGAGAACAAAGAGACATGAGAGACAGAACCACAGAGAGATGGAGAGAGAGACAGAGAGAGAGAGAAGCTAAGACAGCGAGAGAGAGAGATGGGCAGAGACATAGGGAACCCATAGAGAGAGGGAGCCAGACGGCAGAGAGGGGACAGAGAGACAGAGAGGGAGATGAGAGAGAAACAGACAGAAGGGTGGATGGAGACAGAGGGGGAGGGCGGAGGGAGGGGCTTCGGCAGCAGGTGGGGGCCGGCTGTGGGGAGGGCTTAGGGAGGCGTCCCGTCAGTCCCTGCCCATCTGGGCATCTGGGGAGGCAGCGCAGACCCTAAGAATCCGGGGAGACCCAAACAGGGGCCGTGGGCAGCGGGCAGGAGTCACTTCCTGGGCCAGGGGAGGATGACTCAGGCCCGCCGCCCCTGGAGGGACTCCCAGGGGAATTCTGAGGTCGGCGGTCATTGTGAGCCTGGCCCGAGGGGCTGTGGGGGTGCAGACTGGAGGGTGCCCTGACCTCTCGGCGCCTATGTCCAAACTTGACATCCCACAGGCTGCTGGAGGGCAGAGAGCCCCTCCCTCCCAGAGGCCCTCCCCACTGGTAAACTGAGGCTGGAATGCCCTGGCCCTCCCTCATCTGAGGAGTCCTCTCTTCCTCCTCTCCGGCCGCAGGGCTTGGCCAGTTCCCCCCTTGGCCAAGACCCACTTCCTCTTTGTGGGACAGACCACAGAATGACCTTCCCTGGCAGGATGGGCCTGGGCTGACCGGTCCCCAGACCCCGCACGGGAGGGGCCTCCTTTGCACCCTGTCCCCTCCGCCTGGGCTGGGCACTCCTTTCCCCCCCGGCCGCGGCCGCGGGCCGGGCCTTCTCATCCAGGGCCAGGAAGTAGGCCAAACAGGAGCTGGCAGGGAGCTGCTGCTCTGCGCTCCGGGTCCATCTGGTCACATCCTCCAGCCAAGCCTGGGCAGTGAGGGACCCTGCGGCAGGGCGGGGCGGCCACGTTCTCCTTCCTCCTCCTGCTAAGGACCCCCCAGCCCATCCCTCAGACCCGCCAGGGAAAGAATAATAATAACAACAACGCTGTTCACTTAATTCTTACTGTGAACCAGAAATGGTTTGTGTACAAACTCACTCAACCGTTAACACCATCCTAGAAAGTGGGTCTGGCCCCATTTCGCAGGTGTGGAAGGTGAGGCTCAGAGGCCCAGAGGCCTGGCCCGGGACACGCCCCCCCATCAGGTGTGCCCCACCGGCCTCCTCCCGTCTCTCGCCCCCTGGGGTAGGGTTGGGGGGCGCTGGGCTCGGGCCCCACCGGGGCGGCACAGGGACCCGTGCCCGTGGCCGGGGAAGCTCCCCAAACGTCATTTCTTCACTCTTTGTTGCCCGGTTGCTCCAGCAACAGGCGCCCGAGAACCGTTAGGGCCGCCCTGGGCGGGGCGGGGAGGAGGCCCGGGGAAGTCGGCAAAAGTCAGGTTCAAGGGCGAGGCCGTGAGTCCCTTCAGCGCAGGGCCGAGGCCCCGCTGGGTCTGGGGGCCGCCCCTGCCGGCGAGCCGGCGGCCGCGCGGGGTGCGCCCCGCGGGAGGGTCCCGGCACCGCGTCCAGGTGAAGAGCAGCTGCCTGCGGGACGGGCGCTCACTTTTGCCCCCCGCCTCCCCGTGCCTCAGTTTCCCCTCTTTCGGAGCAGCCCTCCAGTGGGGAGCTCAGGGACCCTCTGGGAGGGAGCGCAGGCTCTTAGAGCGCCCGGGGTGCGCGCCGGGGCGTGGGGGGCCCGCCCGGCCATGTGCCTCCCCCACCGCGCCCCGGAGCCGCCAGCCGACCTCCCGTTTCTCCAGCGAAGAGGGGCAGCCGTGCCGAGGGCTGCTGCCCGGGGGCCCCCAGAGTTCTCACCGTGCGGGACGCGCAGGGCGCCGCGGCGCGGGCGCGCCATGGCCGGAGCGGCGGGCGGGGCAGCGGAGGCTGGGCAGGGCGTCCCGTCTCCCGGCTGGGCGGCTGTGCGGCGCCCCGAGGCCGCGGGCCTTTATGGAGGGAGGGGGGACAGGCGCGGCCCAGGGCCCTCCCCGGAACTGGCGGGGCAGCTGGGAGCCAACAGGAAAGTGCAATAAAAACACAGACCCAGGGGCGCTGCGCGCACACGCGCACACACACGCAGCACCAAAGTGCAACCTGCTCTCAAATCCTCTGCGCGCGGTCCCACCGTTTGCGCGTCTGAAAATCCGTCTGGCCCTGGGCGCAGGGGCGTGTCCAGGGGAAGGTGGGGCCGTGACGGCCGGCTGGGGGAGTCTTGCCCAGGGCCCGCTTGGCTCTTCTGTGGGGGTGTTTAGATGGGGGGACCGCGTCAGTCAGAAACAGCCCAGGGCTCCCACGTTGGGGACCACCCTGCGCTCTCTGCCTGGCATGCCCGTCTCCAGCGCCAGCTCGTGAGCTGACGGTACCTCCCCGCCCCCGTTCCTCGTTCAGACGAGGAAACTGAGGCACAGAGAGGCCAGAGTCCAAACAGGAGCCGAGGGAGAGCGGGGCCCTTCATGGACGCCGCCCCGGCGCCGGGGAGAGACCGCAGGGCCGCGGCCGCTGTGCCCCAGAGCTGGTCCCTCTGGTCCCGCGTTCCCTGGGTGGGAAACATATTTCAGGAGCCCGTGGACACTTCATAAATCAACGGAGAATCATATGAGAGCAGAGCTGTTTCCTTTTCAAAGAAGTCACATGACTGGCCATCGAATAATTTTCGAAAACACTGGTATTTATGCAGTGCTTAATCTGAGCCAGGCCCGATTCTTCTAGAATTATCTATTTATCTATTTTAACCCATTTACTCTGCAAATCCCCCGCCAGGCAGGCACCTTACAGAGGGGGAAAGTGAGGCACAGCTAACCAGCGGCTGAGCAGACGTCCCCAGGCACCCAGCCCCGTCCCCAGGCCTGCGAGAGCCTGGGGTCTGGAGAACATCTCTACAGGGAGCTAATGTGTCTTTAACACCTTGGTGGCCCCAGGTTTATCCAGCTAAAATCCATAGTTTTGTGTTCTCTGTGTTATTAATTATTTTTAAGTTTACAGACTATTTGGGGCAACGAGAAGGGTTTTCCAGTTAGGACATCAATGTAAAGCTTTCCTTTTAAATGAATGGATTCAAGGATGCATAAGTGTAGAAAATTAAAAAAAAAAATTAGGTACATAATAGTTCGAAGGGGAAAGATTGTGGTCATGGAAAAAAAAGGTCACCAGTGGCTGAAGGCAGAGCAGCATTATCCCAGGGATGGTGAGCCCGCCCACTCCAGGAATTAACCCCTTCCTGCCCACTGCCGTCCCCTTGCGCGGGACAGGACATGGGAAGGGGTCCCACCAGGGCACCCGAGGGCCTGGGGAGGGGAGTGGACACGGGGGAGGCTGGGAGGGCAGCGGGCCAGACCAGATCCCCAGTGGATTTTGACTTTTTTCCCAGAAAGCTGGAAACCCCAGGGCTGGAGGTCCCCTCCCCACAGGCCCACAGGTCAGGAACCGGTGCCTGGGGAAGCTGGGGGCGGGGGTTCCAGCCTGGGGAGGCCTCGTCCTCGCGATCATCAGTTCTTTTGCCTCCTCCTCCTCCCTGGGGATGTGATGGGGCCCCTGGAGCCAGTCTAACTCCCCTGGACTCAGTTTTTCTGTCTGGTGAGTGGGATTAAAACCCCTGCCCAGTGGCCTTGCAGAACAGGGGGAGGAAGGAACAGGATAACCCGGGAGATAAGGCTTCAAGATGTCCACTGCGAGCTTGGGGGAGGCATGAAGAGGGACGTCCCCACCCCCACCGCCACCATAATCAGGCCTGTCAGCAAGTCCTGTGGCTCTGCCTTCAGATAGACCCAGGATCCTCCCACTTCTCCTCATTCGTGCCCACCCTGGTCTGACCCCACCCTCTCCGGCACCCACACTCTGTTCCCCTCATAGTGGCCCAAGGGCTCCTGGGAAAGTCTGAGTCAGGTCCCATCCCTCCTCTGCTCAAGAACCCTCCGTGGCTCCCACCACACTCAGAGGAAAACTCCAAGTCCTCCTCCGGTGCATAAGGCCCCGCACGTTCTGCCCTGTCACCGCCCTGCCCTTACCTCCTTCCTCTCTCCCCCTTGGTCACTTGGCTACAGCTTTCCTCTGGAAAACAGCAGGCATGGTCTGATCTCAGGGCCTTTGCACGGGCTGTGGCCTCTGCCTGGAGCACTCTCCCCAGATAACCCCCTGGTTCCCTCCCTCCCCTCCTTCATGTTTTGGCTCAAACATTCCCTGACCTACCCTCCACATCCACAATGTAATCCTCTCCCATCCTCAGCACCCCAACTGCTCCCTACCTTCTCGATTCCCGGTAGCCTCATGGAATTCACCTACTTCCTTGCCCACTGTCTGCCCCCCACCCCACTAGACCGTCATCCAGAGGGCAGGACTTCGGTCTGTTTGTGTTCCTGGCACCAAGCCTCACCCGGTAGGGCTCCTGCAGTTAGTACTACACCCCTCACCCCGACCCCTGTCGCTGCCCCCGCTGCAGGAACCCCCTTCCTGAGCCGGCCAGGCTGGGGTGTCACTGCTCCTCCTCCCCCCCTTGGCCCTGAAGTTCCAGCCCCACTGACCGCTTTGGCGGTCCTGGACGACCTCGTGACCTCTGCCCCACAAGGTGAGGCAGGGACATGGGTCCCTACTTGCCAGACGGGAAACTGGCACCTGGGCGGCGGGGCCACAGGCCCGAGATTCCTCAGCTAGGAAGTGGCTGAGCCAGGATTACTACCCAATAATAGTAACAGTATTATTTATTATATCACAGGATGATCGTTATTACTGTAGCTGCAACAGTAACACATCATCCCAATGGATGGTATTGCTCATTGGGCGCCTACTGTATGCCTGGGCCTCTTCTAAGCACCTCACAGGACTGAACTCATCTTCCCAGCAGCCCTCAGAGGAAGGCGCTGTGATTTCCATTTGACAGATGGGGAAACTGAGGCACAGCACCATGAAACGACTCGCACAGAGTCACAGGGTGCTCCCATCTCATATCAGAGGCCTGGGCAAACCCGGTCTTTCCCCTTCTGGACCGTGTGGTCTCGGGCGGGTGATGTGACCCCTCTGGGCCTCAGTGTCCCCATCTGGCGAGTGCAGGTGAGATCATGGGGTGATGAACTGCAGGGGCGCAGCTCACAGAGGACATGTGAGGGGCCCCCACGTCCTGCCCCCCACTCCCTGTGCCCCCACCCCGTGCCCAGAACCTGCACAAGCCCCAGCTGAGGTGGGGGTCAGCTGGGGTCTCCAGTGGAGGGGGCAGAACAGGAAGGCCCCTGCCTGGGAGACAATGGCAGAGGAAGGGGCCGGGCTGCCCCACGCGGATGAGCCCAGCTGCAGGCTCCAGGAGGGCGGCCGGCTATTGTGAGTCCAGACAGCTGTCCCCGCCAGGAAGCCCCAGGAGAGGGGGGAGGCCTGGCCGCCCTGACTCCCAACCCCAGGGCAGGCCCCACAATGGGCCCTTTGTCTCCTCCTGCAGGCTGAACACCTGGTTTCCCCTCAGGCTGGGACCCCGGCTCCTGGTCCCACCCGGCCAGCCCTGGCTGGCATCCTCCAGCCCTGCCTCCCGCCAGCCCAGCTGGGGAGTTGGGAGCAGCGCTGAGCTGGGCCGTATTTATAGTTCCCTGGCATTGCTGAGCAAAGTCCTAAATATAGAATCGAGCTATTTGGGGCCTCAGCCCGGGGGCAGAGTAGGGAGGGGACATACGTGTGCCTCTCTGGCCTGGGCCCTCAAGACTGCCCGGGCCTCTCCGTTTCCTGGGGCTGGGGCTGGGGCTGGGGGGGTCTTGGGGGCAGTATGTCTGCTTGAAGGGGGTACAGAAAACAGATGTGGAGGAGGAGCCCGAAGCTGGCGAGAGGCAAAGCAAGAGGGGCATGCCTCAGAGGGCACGTTCTACGCCGGGGAGGAGGAGCAGGGTACGAGTTTGTGCCCCAGGGCCCCAGCACTCCGTTCCTCCATCTCCTTCACCCCATGACTAACTGCGGTGGGAAAAGGGGGTTGAACTGTCACCCCGGTGTTCTCAGCTTCTAGGAAATGAAGATCTTCAGGAAGCAGCAGGGGCAACTCCGAACCCTAAACAACCCAGCTCCTAGCAACCCACTTCCCCTTCCCCACCAGCACTGAGGTTGCTGGTGGCCCTTGGGCGGGGGCAGGTGACGCGGGCGGGGGTGGGGTGGGGCTATAAATAGCCAGTTTATAAGCAGCTGTGAGGACAGCTGGGCAGGGGGTGGCCCCGGAGCAGAGAGCTCCTCACGGGCAGCTGGAACCCAAAGTGTCCCCAGCTTCACCTCCTCCCAGCGATCCCCAAGACTTGGGGGTGTCGAGGGAACAGAGGGGCCAGTTCCTTAAAGGGAGCAACGCCAATCATTCCTTAAGGCAGCACATTGACAAGATGGCTGTTAAGACTCTAGTGGAGGGCCGGCCCCGTGGCTTAGCGGTTGAGTGCGCGCGCTCCGCTGCGGGCGGCCCGGGTTCAGATCTCGGGCGCGCACCAACGCACCGCTTCTCCAGCCATGCTGAGGCCGCGTCCCACATACAGCAACTAGAAGGATGTGCAGCTATGACATACAACTATCTACTGGGGCTTTGGGGGAAAAAATTAAAAAAAAAAAAGAACCCCATGGGCATGCAACGAGACGGCTGGGTGTTAGCAACACACTCCTTTCTTCATTTTAAAAAGTGAGTGAAGTGCAAAAATCTTAATTTGCTTGAAAAATCTCGTAGTAGAATTTTATTTCCTAGCTTCACTGAGATATAATTGAAGAATAAAATTGTAATATATTTAAAGCGTATGACATGATGATTTGATGGTAGTAAAATCTGGAAACAAAAAAGACGTCCCCAAACCCCATAGAAAGGCCGCCTCCTCATAAAACTCAGACACAGAGAAAAGGAAACTAGATAAGGTTTTGGGATACAAACAGATGCAAGAGAACTTTAAAAAGATCAGTGAGCACGGGAGTAAGCGGCAGAATGCGGGGCGCTGGAGGGAGGGAGTGGGGTCACGCCCCAGAGCCCGGTGGGGGCCGTACGGAATTTTACAGGATGAAGGAATCAAGTCAATTACAGCGGGTCGTAGATAGACTGGCGGTCGTGAGAATTGTGTTTAATCGATTCTGCGAACCCGAGGGCCTGTAAGACTTTTTTTGAAGTTTAAAAACGTTTCAAGGCTCTAGGGAGAAGCAGTTAGAGGAAGCAAAGGAAAGAGGTGGAAAGAGTGCTGGCTGATGGCGGGGGAGGCCCAGTTGGGGACGGGGCGGCGGGGTGGCAGCGCCACAGGAAGCAGTGCAGTCCTGGGCTGGGAACGCCACGACATTCAGCTCTCAGCCTCTTCCCCATTCTGCAAGGGCTTCTGGGAGCGGCGGGCTGGCGGGGGGCTGACAATGCCCAGTGAGGGTGGGCTCACGCCTCCAGGCCCTGCCAGGGGGTCCTGGGGAAGGAGTGGAGTTTAGGCTGGGCGCCAGGTCAACCTCTCCCCGTGCCTCAGTTTCTCCACCTGGGCCCCACGTCACTGGTTTCTGGGGTCCCGGGCCCTGCTGCTGATCATGACCAGTCCCAGAAAGAAGTGACGAATTCCAGGGGCTTCGGTGAGAATACACGCACCCCCGGCTCTCTGTCAGAGCAGGGCCTCCCTTCATCAGCTCTGGAAAAACCCCCAGTTTGGGGGTTCCTCAGAAAGTTACAGTGTTACCCCACGACCAAGCAGTTCCACTTTTAGGTGGGGACCCAGAAGAATTGAAAGCAGGGACTCAACAAATACTTGTGCACCCACGTTCACAGCAGCGTGACTCACAACAGCCAAAACGTGGACACAGCCCAAGCATCCATCAACGGACGGATGGATGCACAAAACGTGGTCCGTCCATCAGTGGAGTATTATTCAGCCCAGAAAGGAATGAAGCTCTGACACAGGCCACAAGGTGGATGGAGTGGTGGTTGCACAGCCCTGTGAATGTGCTAAATGCCACTGGATTGTTCCCTTTCAAATGGTTGATTTATGTCATGTGAATCGCACTCCAATTTTAAGAAACCCTCAGCAGTCCTGGCAGCGTGCCCCACCCCGCCCTGGGTGTCTGTCCCATCACAGCCTGTCCTCTGTGGCTCGTAGGCCACCTCTCAGTTAATCTTTCCACTGCCCTGAGATGATGTGGACATTACTCTCCTCCTTTTCCAGACCTGATCGCCACGCATTCACTTAGCAAACACTGCATGCCGGGTGCTGCTCTAGGCACGGGGGTGCAGGTGTGAACAAGCCAGACCAAACCGTGTGCCCAGCGAGGTTGACTTCCCGCTGGGAGACGACCATGAACGTGATAAATGAGAACCTGAAGGAGGACGTTAGGATGGGAAGATTAAGCAGGTTGACGAAGGAGGAGGGGGGTACTGGGAGGTTGCTGAACTAAATAGGGTGGAGGGGGAAGGCCTCACTTAGAAGGTGACATTTGAGGAAAGACCTGAGGAGGTGAGGAGGGAGGAGTCACGAAGATATCTGAGGAAGAGCATTCCAGCCTGAGGGAACAGCCTATGCAAAGGCCCTGAGGCTGGAGCGCGCCTGGTGTGGACAGCAAGGAGGCTCGTGTGGCTGCAGCCAAGTGAGCGAGGGGTGAGCAGGGGGAGGCAAGGCCACAGAGATAACGGCGAGACTGTGTGCAGCAAGCGAGGAAGTCAGAGGTGATATTCACAATGTTTAACACCCAGTGAGGCGTGAAAGCCAGAGAGCTAGAACGGTATCCTCAGCCCATGTGGCTTCCTCCTGTCCCCTCATATCCGACAGCCTCCAGGAGCGACTGGGCCCAGACCCTCCCCAGCAGCTCCCCCAACCAGGGGCGGAGAGACCTCGCTGCATCGATGGAGCCTGAAGCCGGATGCTCAGAACCAGGGACCGGGAAGGCCCAAGTGTCATGTTGCAGGTGGGGACCGAGGCTGGAGGAGGGAGAGATCACCCAGGGTCACAGGAATACAGGCAGAGCTGGGGGCCTGGCTCTCTCAACGACACTGGGCGGGGACGAGGACTCTGGGTGACTCCCGGGGTCCAGCCTCCGCCATCACTCACTAGCCCAGTGCAGTCACCTCTGTCCTGGTCCCCTGGCACTCAGCCTCGCCCTCCACAATCTGTTCCCCCCACAGCAGCCAGAGGGCACCTGTGAGCACCAAGTCAGGCCCTGCCCCTCCTCTGCTCAGAACGCTCCATGGCTCCCACCTTGCTCAGAGCAAAAGTCTCAACTCCTCCCCGCGGCCCACAGGCCCTGCTCGCTCTGCCCTGTCCCCTCCCGGCCCTCACCTCCCACTCTCCTCTCACTCGACCCCCTCCAGCCACATAGGCCTCCTTGGTGCTCCTCAAACACTCCAGGCACATTCCCGCCTCAGGGCCTTTGCACAGGCTGTTCCCTCTGCGTGCATCACCCTTCCTCCCCTAGACACTCACACAATGCCCCTCTCACCTCCTTCAGGTCTTTGCTCAAACGTCACCTCCTCACTGAGACCTTCTCTGTCCCCCTCTTTAAAATCGCAAGCATCCTCCGTCCCTGTTACCTGCTGTGTTTTCCTTTTTTCCCAAGCACTGACCTCCTTCCAAGTCAGTGCCATTTCCACTGTTGGCCCCCGCCTCCCCCGGGCGCGCCTGCCGCGGGCACGGCTGTGACCCCGCACTTCCAGTGGTGCCTGGCACACAGCCGGTGCTCCATAAGCGCTGCCTACGGGAATGTCAGAGTGGGAGGTTATTGCGGCTGTGTCTTTTAACACCTTTAAACACCTCGGTAATCTCTTTCCGTTTTTATCTGTTTTCCTCTTTCCCTTTTTTTCTTTCTTTTTTAACGAAAAGAGCAGTCTCTTTGCTCTGCGGCTGGACTCGAGGGTGCGGCCGGGCTCTGGGGGTCCCGGGAGAGCGGGCGCAGGGCTGAGGGGTGCCCCCCTGTACCCTCTGCTCCTCGTGCCTCACTCTCCTCGCCCACCCTGAGCCTTCCGCAGGCGGCCGCATTAACCCAGCCGACCTTCCCCGCCCCCGCCCCCGCCAGCGGGGTGCTGTGTCTGCTGCCTCCACTGGTGGAAATGGCCCTGGCTTCCTCTTGTGGCAGTGGCATAAAGGTTCCTTTCAAAACAAATTCATCTAAGAATTTTAAAAAGGAAAAGCAAGTCGGTTGAAGGAAGAATCTGCGGGCGGAGGAGAGAGGGGTGGGTGGCGTTTGTGAGCCGCCCGCCAGCTCCGCGCTGGAGGAGGCGAGGCGGGGTGGCGCCCTGGGTCCCGGGTGCAGGCGCCACGCTGCCTGGGCCCAGTGTCCTCCAGTGATGCCGCTAGGGGCCAGGGGCGCCTCTGGGCAGGCAGCTCCGTCTTTTCTGAGTGCTCTGAAGAAGGACTTTGAGAGCATTTCCTGTCGGTGCCCCCACATCTGGGGGCGAGGGCGTCACCGGGGTTTTCCTGGGCCCCTGGCGTGGGTCTTGGTGCTGAGTGACGAAGCGCAGTGGCAGCCCCTTCGCGGATACGGGATCTGCCGCCACCACGCCTGCCTCTCGCCCCCAGCTTCTGCCTGGCTCGAGGAGCCAGCCCTGGGGACCTCACAGGAGGCCAGGCGGCCCTGGCGTTGGCAAGGAGGCTGGCATCCACGCCCTGAGCTTTCTTCAAAACAGTCATTAAGATCCCCAGACAGACGGTCAATAAGCGCATGAGATGCTCAACATCACTAATCATCAGGGAAACGCAAATCACAAGCCAATGAGACACCACCTCACGTTTACCAGCATGGCTGCTATAAAAAGAAGACAACGGACAATAACGTGTTGGCGGGCACGTGGAGAAATCGGAACCCTTGTGCACTGCTGGCGGGAACGTAAAACGGCGCAGCCACCGTGGAAACCAGCATGGCAGTTCCTTGTAAGATTACACACAGAATTACCACATGACCCAGCAGTCCCACTTCTGGGTGTATCCCCAAAAGAAGGACAGCAGAGTCTCAAAGAGATATCTGTACACCCATGTCCACAGCCACCAAAAAGTAGAAGCGACTCAAGTTTCCATTGACAGACGAATGAATAGACAAAATGTGGTCCATCCACACAGTGGAATATTACTCAGCCTTAAAAAGGAAGGAAATTCTGACACCTGCTGCAATGTGGATGAACCTTGGCGACATTGTGCCTGGTGAAATCAGCCAGTCCCCAAAGGGCGAGTGCTGCGTGACCCCACTCAAGTGAGGTAATGCAGCAGTCTCATCTGTGGAAACAGAAAGTACGACGGGCCTTGCCAGGGTCTGGGGGGAGGGGAGCTGTAGTTTCGTGGGCAGTTTCAGTTTTGCAAGATGAAAACGTCCTGGAGTTGGTTGCGCAACAACGTAAATACACTGAACACTACTGAACTGTGCACTTCAACATGGTTCAGACGGTAAATTTTGTTACACGTTGTTTACCACTTAAATTTTTTTTTAAAAAAGGAGGGATATTCTGCTACACCTGCTACAACGTGGATGAACCCCGAGGACACGATGCTGAGCGGACAAGCCAGCCAGGAAGGCCTAATGCTGCTGAGTCCACGCGCGGGCCCCCCACAGAGAGGGGCGCGCGGCTCCCACGGCCGGGGGAGGGGACGCAGGCAGCCTTCGGGGGACAGACGTCAGTGTGGGAAGCGGAGAAAGTTCTGGAGAGGGGTGGTGGGGAAGGTTGCACAACCATGGGAATGTACTTAATGCCACTGAACCGCACACCCGAAAATGGTTAAGATGGTGAATTTTATGATGTGTGCATTTCACCACATTTAAAACAAAAAAACCCCGGGGCGGGGCGTGGAGACAGGACCGCGCCGGACGCCGGCCCAGGGCGCAGGAACCCGAGACGCACGCTCCAGGGGGTCTGCCGCTTATCCCCCAAAGCCTCCCCGGGCCGCCCCCCCATGTCGCCGCCGG